TGACAGCCGCTTGAGGCGCTTCCCCGATGCTCAATGTGAAAATTGCATTGAGCATGCAGAACGTCCATAGGAAAGCATTGAGAAATGCTTACCTATGGGCGTTTTGAATGCGCGCGCAGCTCTGGCCCCGCATGCGCATTCAGCTCCACTCAGGGGAGCCCGACGCTGGATAAAGGTAACCCCTTCAGCCCAGCGGGAGGGGGACCCTGAGGGTGGGGGGTACGTAAGGATTATAAGAAACAAGTTTGTTTTCCTTTTTTAATGTTTCCATTTTTATTTATTTATTTATTTTGGATTACATCACAAAAAACATTGTTACATTTAGAAACAGAAATATATGTATATGTGAACGCAGTCACACTATGCATTACACAGCTGGAATTTATACATTTGGTATTTATACACAGCCTAAAACCAGTCTTCTCATCATAAACATAGTAAGAAAAATACATTAAAAAGAAAAAAAAAAGAGAGGACTATTCTGGACCGGCTGCAGAGGCTATGAATGTGTTTTTCAGGAGCACATGACGCTCATTGCCCTGATGAGATTATCCATACCAAATCACCTTCCCAGATAGTTTACTCAGTCACAACTCACATGAAAGAAGATCTGGCGATGTTTATTCGTCGTATGATCCGTAGAATGTGCAGTTACAACAGGTAAAAGAACGATTCTTCCATACAGGTTAGGAGAGATACAAGTCACATATGAAAGTACAGCATAGAAAACACTAGAACAGGAAAGGGGGAGGGGAGTACCTGAAGCAGCATGCAAACTATGGAGTGGCACAAGAGGCAAACTTAAGATGAACATTAAAGAAACAGTACATTATAATAAAACAATATCATGTAACATGACACTCCCCGCCTGAAATCTTTAGAGTTCAAAGTATATATATATATATATATATATATATATATATATATATATATATATATATATGTCCAAATGTCTAAAAGTCCAACTTGAACCTGTAAGTGAAGAAAACATTGGAAATAATACTGGTGTGTAGACCATAAATACGAGATACCTGCAAAACAAAGAAGGTATGCAGTAAATGAATAACCAAACATGAAGTCCAATAACGGATGGCTAAAGTCCTGTAGTCTACAGTTTATAGCCGTGGAGCTTCAACAGTGGCAAGTTAAGTTATAGTGGCGTTCTCCCCGCCATAGCACCGTATAGTCTGGTACCCTTGCATAAGTCACTCGCTTGGGAGAAGAAGTACCAATTCTGTGGTTGGTCGTGAGAAAGTCCGAGCTGAACCTCCTTTGGTTTTCTTAATCTCAACCTTGCGAACCTTTCCATCATCGCTGGGCATTACGCTTCTTACAAGACCCATAGGCCACTCGTTGTGTCAGACTTCTCTATCTTTCACTGCTAGCACGGCTGCACAAAGTTCAAGTCTGGGTATGGTATGCGCAGGTTTAGGTGTAAGCTTTGCCTTGCCTAGAACAAAATTGCAATGTATGACTCCGTTAACCCCTGAGGTCTTCAAATAGGCCACTGCATCTATAGCTTCAACTGATGTGTCTGAGAAAATATGGATTTCCCTCTGGTTAGCGGCTGAAATGGAGACTGGGGCATAGCAACGTGGAATTTGGAGCTGTTCTGGTGGCTTCAGAGAGCCTTTCCATTTCTCCCATCTTTGTTGTTTCACAATAGGTAACGGAGTGTCCCAATCTATGTTGTCTGTAGTAAGCTGTCTTAAAAGCATTTTACCTTGGGTGGTGACTGGGGCTATAAATTCCAGTGGGTCGTAGATGCTATTCACTATGGATAAGACCATAGTCTTGGTAAAAGGTTTGTCACAGGCTGACACTTGAAAGGTGAATGTGTCTTCTTTGATGTTCCACAGCAGACCTAGACTTCTCTGCAAAGGAGGCGTGTCTGACCCAAGGTCAAGGTCTTTCACGCCGGCAGCATAGTCCTCAGAGTGAAATGCATTCATTAGCTCTTGGCTGTTGGATATCATCTTGTGGAGTCTCAAGTTTGTTATGGATAGCATCTCCTTTGTTCTGGTGAGAAGATCAATTGCTTCTTTAGCAGTAGGAAAGGATTTGAGCCCGCCGTCTACGTAAAAGTTTATTTTGACAAATTGATGAGCGTCGGATCCATACTCAGCTTCTCCAAGCTGGGCTGTCTTTTTTAGTCCATAGATTGCTACAGCTGGGGAAGGGCTGTTCCCAAAGACATGCACCCTCATTCGGTAATCAGTTACCTCTTTGTTGAGGTCATTGTCCTTGTGCCATAGGAACCTGAGGTAGTTTCTGTTGCCTTCCTTGACGATGAAGCAGTGGAACATTTGTTGAATGTCAGCCATCACTGCTGCAGGTTCTTGTCTAAAGCAAATTAGAACTCCAATCAGGCTGTTGTTCAAGTTGGGCCCTGTGAGGAGCATGTTGTTAATTGAGATGCCTGTTGGGCACTGGAGTCAAAGACAACTCTGATTTGGTCTGACTTTCGTGGGTTTTCGTGGACTTTCAGTGGAGGTGCGGGTTCAGCATGACCTCTATCAAAGATATTGTGGATAAAGTCTACAAAATGTCTTTCCATCTCTGGTTTCCTGCTTAAAGTATGCTTTAAAGAAGAGAATCTTTTAATGGCTTCATGTAGATTGTTCGGTAGCTTCTCTCTCGGGAGGCGAAAGGGTAGGGGTGCTACCCAACTATTGGAATCTTCCTGAAAGAACTCGTTATCCATTACTTTAAGGAATTCTTTGTCTTCTACTGAAGGAGCTAACATGTTGTCTTCACTGCTTGTATTGAAAACTGTAGAGCCAAACCTGTCATCGTATGTGCGGGAAAGGTTTGTGTTGCCATGTTGCAACTTGCAGCTAGTTATCTTTTCCTTTACCCAGTAGTGATGTGGGCATGGCTCAAAGTGAGTATTACGACCATTCGGCAATACATTTTTCTTGAATGAAGAAATGTTAGTAGGCCTTTTCATTTTGCCTATACAGACATTACCTATGATGACCCAGCCTAAGTCCAGGTACTGGGCAAATGGAGCATCTGGGGGTCTGCTGACCTGCCTGTGCACCTTGTGGACCCTTAGAATATCTCTTCCCAGCAGAAGGATTTTAGCATCTTTGTCAAGTGGTGGGATTTCACTTGCTATTGACTTTAGGTGAGGGTGGTAGAAGGCAACTTCTGGTGTAGGTATTTCTTCTTTGTTGGCTGGTATCTGGTTGCACTCTAGAAGTGTAGGTAAGGGTAATTGTAAGTTATCTCCTAGAGAGGACACAATAAATCCATGGGCCCTTCTTCCAAAGACCTCTGTAGTGCCGCTACAAGTGCCTAAGGAACCTCTCCTCTTATGCAAAATAGATCAAATGGTTCGGATCGGGCAAGTGATCGATTGCTTTGATCATCTAAGATAGCATACACCTTTAAAGTCTTTTCTGGTTGATCCTTGTGGTGGACATTCACTAGGCATATTTTAGTGCAAGACTTGTCACAGTGGTCTTCCCCACAGACTTCAGTGCATGAGGAAAACATTGCGGTGGAATTAGGCACCTGATCTGTACTCTTCCCGTCATGATTTGACCTGGGAGAAAGGTTTGCAGATTGTGAAGGGTTGGCTTTGAGTGGATGGAGAGCTTGTACATGGTCCTTGGAACCGCACTCTATGCACTTGATAGGGGTTTTACATTCCTTGGCAAAGTGATCAGTGGAAGCACAGCACCTATAACATACCCCAAAGGTCTTTAGGAGTTCCTTTCGTTCTTGTAGAGGCTTCTTCATAAAGCCGATATATTTTTTGAGGGGGTGTGGCTTCTTGTGGATAGGACAGGATTGGTTTGGGTTTTCGATCTTGCTGCTCTTGTTTGAGGCGGGAGCTGAGGTGGGAGCAGGAATAATGTCTGTCTTTTTGACAGACACGGGACCTCTATGGTTCTTGTAGCTGATATGTAGGTTGTCACCTTTCAGTGAGGAAGTACTGAACTCGCCAAATGCAAAACTTGGTGTCAGCAATGTTCCTAACAAATTCGCAGAAGTAGGAGAAAGGGGGAAATTAAACCTTGTTTTCCCGTTTGTATTTTGACCCAATTTGGATCCACTTTTCTTGTAGGCCATATGGAAGCTTGTAAATGATAGGGTTAGTTCTTCGAGCAGTGTCCAGGTAACTGAGGCCAGGTAGTTTAGGGTCAGTTTTGGCAAGCTGGACTTCGAGAAGAAGGTCACTGAGTCTCTGGAACTCTTTATTGTCCTTACCGGATATCGTTGGGAAATTTTCCAATCGTTTGAGCAATGCATTCTCTATGGCTTCAGGAGTTCCCATGCAGCGGTGAGACCTGCAGTTGGATTGTTGATGTAGACTGACCTGAGGCTCTTGACACGTTCTGTAGATTGTGGGCGAAGCCACCTGATCAGCAGATCCAGCTCCTCATCAGCAGTAATACCAAGATCACCTATAGTAGTTTTGAACGCAGCTTTTCAGCTTCTGTAATTTTCAGGATGGTCGTCGAAGCATACTAGGCCTGACTTGGTGAGCTCTAGTCGAAGTATATACTTTACAAACTCTGCTGTATCAGTTGCCTCTGACTTTACGTAGGAGGCCGCTGGTTGAATGTTGCGGGTTGCGTTGTTTATGGTATTGTTGTAAAAAGACGTGGGAAGACATGGTGCAGCAAGGGTGTTCAGCTGAGTTGTTGGGTTAAAGTCTGGAACGGTACTATTAGCAGGAGGTTGGTGACTTGCTTGCAGATTGGTGTGCCATTCTGTGACATGTGCAGAATCAGCCTGACAGTCGGGCGATGCACTGGGGTGGTTTTGCATGTAGGAAGTTGCTGGAACAACTTTTGCCTGGTGGTGTGGTGAAGTCCTTGCGTTGTCGTGAAGAATGGAGGCAATTGAGTGTTCACTGCTGTGGTTTAGGACGTAGTTCTTAGTGCGTTCGAAAGGATCTTCGTTATCTGCCTTGATGCTGACCCTTTCACTAGCATTTTCATCTGCACCGAGAGCTTGTTCCAAAATCTTTAGTTTCGCTGCAGCTGCCTCATAGTTGCTCTGTTCCTTTAAAGCTTCAATTGCTGCCCTTTGATGAGCTGCCTCAGCTTCCATTTCTGCTCTCTTTTTAGCATATGCAGCCTGTACTTTGCTAGCCTCTGCTTCAGCACGGGCATTTATAAGCTGTTCACTAAGCGTTGAGTGACTTGAACTTCGGGATCTAGAGGAACTTTTAGAATGTCTGGTGGATACGGATCTGTGAGATACAGTGTCCTGTGGCTGCGTTAATTTTGCTTCTGCCTTTGCTTTAGCTAGCAGGATAAAGCTTTCTCTTTCCAAGTTAAGAAGCTGGACATTGTTAAGTTGCTCTAATGATTCCTCAGTGTTAATGTTTTGCAGAATAGTTTTAGATTTATTGCTTGTAGTCTGGTACAGTTCATATGAAGCAGAGATATGCTTTATGGCGCCCTGTAGTTGCAGTACCTTATGGCTGGGACATGAAATCACATCAACGTGGGTGAGGATTTTATCCCAAATCTGCTTCAAACTGGTTGATAGTTCAGTTCTCATGGATTCATAGTTCTCTTTAAACTTCCAAGTGGGTTTCACAGAGCATTTAGCCAATACACTGGGCTCTGGGTCCTCATCCTGGCTTTCTCCATGTGGTGCATGCTGTGGTGTTTCATCACATACTGAGCCTTTTCCACTCATGATGGCCTGAAGTACACAGGCTTGGCTGTAGCAGTGAAGTGTGTCTGTATACTGTGTGGGGCTGTAACAAGCTGTGCTGGGGTTGTATGCAGACTTCTCTTACAATACACACAGTTACACTTCACTATGATCTGTCCTGTGACACAGCAATCTCTGTACAAGCTGCTGGATAAGTTTTTTTACTATTCTGGACCGGCTGCAAAGGCTATGAATGTGTTTTTCAGGAGCACATGACGCTCATTGCCCTGATGAGATTATCCATACCAAATCACCTTCCCAGATAGTTTACTCAGTCACAACTCACATGAAAGAAGATCTGGCGATGTTTATTCGTCGTATGATCCGTAGAATGTGCAGTTACAACGGGTAAAAGAACGATTCTTCGATACAGGTTAGGAGAGATACAAGTCACATATGAATGTACAGCATAGAAAATACTAGAACAGGAAAGGGGAGGGGAGTACCTGGAGCAGCATGCAAACTATGGAGTGGCACAAGAGACAAACTTAAGATGAACATTAAAGAAACAGTACATTATAATAAAACAATATCATGTAACATGACAAGGACAGTTACATAGCTCAGTCTATAATGTTTATCACGTTTGTTTTCCTGAACTATAATGATCCTTTAATTTGGAATTATGTTCCAAGCCTTGGCAAAGTAACATATATATGAAGGTTGTTCTAATTTTTTTATTTTACATAAACTGCAGATTTCAATAAAAAATGTCCCTTTGATATATTAACGTGTAGGGGATACAGGAGAACTGGTACCAGGCTTGGGACCCAGACTTATTCCGCCTGAGAGAGAACTTTAGCAAAAAGTTCCCCCACAAATATCAGGCAGACATTTGACAAAGTGGGGAACAGTAATGTACACTTTATTTAGACTCACTTGTTTTTTGTATACATTTCTTTGTTTGTACAGTGAACACAAGTATTCACTGTATGGCCTTAGAATAGCAATCAATCACACTAGGAAGTTTGATTAAATGACAACCAGTGTGAAAGGGTACAGGGGACAGACAATAACAATGACTGGACAACATGTGAGAATTAAAGGAACACTATAGTTACCAAAACAACTTTAGCTTAATAAAGCAGTTTTTGTGTAGAGATCATGCCTTTTGAAGCCTCACTGCTCAATTCTCTGCCATTTAGGAGTTAAATCACTTTCGAGTCTGTCCATGCAACCCTAGACACACATCCCCTGCTTGTGACTCACACAGCCTGTATGAAAACAATGGTTTCATTTTGAATCAGATGTTACTTTAGAAGTGTGTATCTCCTGCTCTTTAAATAGAATTTTAATTACAGACAAGAGGCTCTTGTAATATCTAGTAAACTATTTACTCTGCAGGAGATACTATATACTAAATAAGACCGGCTGTGCAATAAAGGAAGTGTAAACATTAGATATCACTTACAAGAAGTGTTTAGGAAAGCTGTGTAAGTAACATGCGGGGAGGTATGACTAGGGCTGCATACACAAAGTGATTAAACTCCTAAATAGTAGATAATTAAGTGAATGCCCATAGATTGATCAATACACCAAAACAGCTTCATTAAGATAAAATTATTTTGGGCCTTCAGTTTGAACTGTTCTGAAAGTGTCCTTGGAACAATGGAATGACGCAATATTGGGAAAACAACACGACAGTGATGGGGGGGAGAGAAAAAGGAAACCCACAAAATGGACATGCAATACATTTAACTTAATTCCACCATTTTAAACCAGCCATTGAAAGCGGGGAAGCATCCGTTACAACCTTGTCACACTCCATGGAAGTCAATCAGGCAACTGGCAAATTGTTTGAACCCTATATAAACCCATATGTGCCAGGCTAATACTATGTACACTTTAAGAAGCCCCTTGTTTAGCGAAACGCATTGTGTGTTTTAGTATTGTTTTTAAGCATTAAAGTTTATTTAGCTTACACCTATGTTATAGTGCAAGACCATTTATTATACTGTTTATTACTTAAATTGTTTTTTATTGTTCCTGGCACATTTACAAACTCCTGAATTATCTACTCCACTCTACATCCAATCCCCGGCAAGGATTGCCCTCAGGAGAATCTACTCAACATGATGTCCTTGGTGGGGATCATACCACCCAAGCTCTATCTCTTGAGTGGTATTACTGCTCTACTAAATGTGAGTAATTTACAATTTAAATTTTTACCTGTTTTTTAGTTTTACACAGTAAGCACTATTGTTTGCTTTTTCTGTTTTACTATTTTATATTCATCTGCATGCTGTGAGACTTACCTCTAAGGAGCTACATAGCCATCAGTGGGGAATATACCGCTGGACGCGGTTTTACTCAGAGCTGATCTATAGCTCTAGCAAATGTGAGTGTGATCCCACATATCCTTATTGTGTGTCCTACACTAAGTATCTAGAATAAATATCTCCAGGCACTCAGGATGTTAAAGCTGCAGGCAGGTTTATTGAAACAAAAAGGACAGCAACGTTTCGACCTAACAGGAAGACTTTGTCAAGCTAACACCACAAAACAACATAAGTGTATATATATAGCAAACAGTGTGAACAAGGTCAGCAAATAAGAGAAGAGGAGAAATAAATTCCAGAAAGACAGGACTGATTATGAGGTGGGTAATGTTTATAGATGGCATCACAACTATCAAGGTGTAAGAAAAGGGAATTACCTAATAGAAAAAAAAGACATGGAAATCTAGACGCCCCAATATTGGTAATTCCTCTAATACTGAGATGGAAAATTCCCAAGAAAGTTCTCTCTCTTTTTTAGAGAGAACCCCCTCCTCACGAGCAGCATAAAAGGAAGAAGGATGCAATGAAGTGGGGGTGGTTACAAGAAATCGGACATTACCATCAATATGGGACCACAAGAAATTGGGACCAAAGAGGAAGAAACTACAGTAATTAATATTTCGTCAACTTCTTTAATGGAAGAAGAACTTGCTGTTCTTTCAAGAGGTTTGACTTTTTGTCCTATCTATACTCCTATTCATGTGGAGATTGACTTAGAATTAACCCAGTTCTTCTGTTCCCTTAAACTTAACACTTTCTTTGATTAGGTTCATATACCTCCCCCCTCGGTTAGTCACAGAGATGCAGACATTAAGCTAAGTGATACAAAGCTTAAAAATAAAAGCACATTTAACCCTCCCTAGGTAGATCATGCAGTTGAGGTTTTTTTCCAATTTAGAAAAAAAAAAAGGGAGATTAATGATGTGGTTACATCTAATTCTGATCACAGACACCACCCTAATCTTTGTAAGCTTTCTAAAAAAGAAGAAAGATAGCTCTCGAGAGATTGAGCAAAAATAAGGAATTAACAATTAAACCTGCAGATAAGGGTGGTGCCAAAGTGATACAGAATATGGTAGACTATGTGGATGAAATTCTTAGACAGTTGGGAGATAATGAGACTTACAGGTGTCTGCCAGGTGACCCCACCACAGCTCTTCAATCCAAAATTGGGGCACTATTGACTCAGGCTTTAAATAATTAAAATTTAGATAAAGAACTTTTAAAGTTTTTATTAGAGACCACACTTGTTATACCAGCTCTGTACACCCTCCCTAAAATTCATAAATCATCAACTAGACCTCCAGGTAGGCCCATTGTAGCAAGGATTGGTTCTCTTTTCCCATTGGCTAAATTTTTGGATAATATCTTGAGACCTTTCTTAATAGAAATAAAGTCTTATGTAAGAGATACTACTGAAGTGCTTTTGAAACTGGAGGAAGTTGAAGTACCTAACACCTTGATCCTTGTCACCTTTGATGTGACTAGTTTATATACATCTATTGAACATGATGCAGGCCTAACAGGAGCTAGATCAGCTTTTTAACTTTAGGATTTAAGGTTTATGTTCTGTACTTTTTGTTGGAACTTTTGGAAATGGTGATGAAGGATAATTATTTTCTTTTCCAGGATCATTTTTATCTACAATTGAAGGGCACTTCTATGGGCTCCAATGTGGCACCCACATATGCCAGTATTTTTATGTCTAATGTCTGGGGAAAGAATGTATCTATCCTCATACTCTATTTCGTCAATTTGCCATCAGCTGGTGGTGCTATATTGATAAAATACTGGTGTAGTGGAGTGGCACATTGGAGTCCCTTGAAGAATTCTGTGCCTTTTTGAATGTGTGCTCTCAGAGTATCAAGTTCGCAATGACACATGATCTGGTGGAGTTACCGTTTTTGGATATCCTGATTAAAAAGCAGGAGGGTAAACTTATCACTGATGTATATAGGAAAACAATAGATATATATATGCTGCTTCACTTTTCCATTTGACATCCTCCAGCTATTTTCAAAGCTTTACCAAAGAGTCAGTATACCCGGGTTAGAAGGCTTGTATCCAACTCAGACTTGGTTAATAAGCTCTTTGATGAAATGACCATGAGATTTATTGAAAGTGGTTACCCTGTGGAATTACTCAAGACTCAACTTGACCAGATGAAAGATAAGGAAAGGGAACACTTCTTACATGAATGCAGACCAGTAAGAAACAAGAATAGGTTGTAATTTGTTTCAAAATTTGGAAGGTACTCCTCTGATCTACGGAGAATTGTGTACAAACATTGGCACATTCTCACTGATTGTCATCCTAACATTTTCTCATAAATTTATGTTTGCCTTTAAGAGAGGCACTTTGTTAAGAGACAAACTGGTTAAAACTCTTGTACCCACTGGCGATGTTACCACTATTGTTAAACCAGGCGACTTTCCATGATATGACTGTGTCTCTTGCCACTCTATGATACGAGGTGATGTTATACATCATTTACGAAGTTGCAAAACAATATCCAAGTAGACCATTTTTGACATGCAACTCTGATTTTGTGGTTTACGCATTAAAATGCCCTTGTGGTTTTTGTACGTGGGCCAAACTAGCCAAAGGTTTAAGATGAGGTTTTCTAAACATAAGTTGACAATCCGTACTGGATTGACGGACTTACCTTTTCCTGCTTACTTTTTGGAAGCGAGACATAATGTCTCTACTAAGGTTCCAGATTTTAGAACAAATTGTGGAACTGCCTAGGAGAGGTAACAGACATTACTATTACGTGAGGCTTATTAGATTCAGGAACTTGACACACTATATCCTAAAGGTTTAAATCAGGGGTTCTCAACCCAGTCCTCAAGGACCCCCTACCATTCCAAGATTTAGGGATTACCTGGATGTTTCTAAGGTGTTTAGAAAAAGAAGGAAAAAAAAACCTTAGAATCTATGGTGTTTTTTTTTCTTTTTCTAAACACCTTAGACACACCCAGGTAATCCCTAAATCCTGGACTGGTAGGGGGTCCTTGAGGACTGCGTTGAGAACCCCTGGTTTAAATGATGAAAATGATTTATCTATGTTGATTTAAACTATGGTTGCTGTTTCTGTTGTTTTTATTGCTGCATGGCTACATGTAGCTTATTTTTATTGTCTACTAATTTTTTACTTTTTTCAGGTCTCCTGATAGAAATTTGGTGCTGGTTCTTATCTACACCCTAATTCCTTTTTGATTTGGTATGAATTCTGGATTATCTTTTCGGGACCACTTTGACTTGGATACAATATATTATCTATGTGGTTGCACTATAAGTAATTTTACCACATGACAGGAGGCTTCGTATTTTGCATCTCTCTCTTTACTAACTCCATACAGCAGTAAAGAAACACATAGAAAAAAGAACCAGTCACAGGAGAGCAGGATGTACATAAGGCAATGTGACCTCATCATTTCCTCTTTCTTTACTGCTCCATCAAGCAGACAGGTCAGAGTATTACTCTTCTCCATTACGTTATGTTTACAGTGCCTCTTTGAGGTTGTTTCTGTATTATATTTTTATATACTTTGCTGAATGTTCTTGCTGTGCTTCTGTACTATGTGCAGCTGTGTTTTTTCATAGATATTATGTAGATTTAACATAATCCTTATTTCATAACCTTTAGTTGTGATTAATATCACTTGTAATTTATCCGTTTTATAGGCATTTCATAAGTTTTGATAAGTATTATATGTACTTTATATGTATTTAATAGATGTCATGTATTTTATGACATGAATTTAATAGGTGTTAGGTGTAAAGTTTATTATTGACTTAATAGGTTTTATGTATAGTTATGGTAGATGTACTTTATACCATATGTATCATGACTTTTCTGGCGATTTTCCTGGCCTTCTATACCTGGGGCATCTGGGGACCCTCTTTCCCCGTTTTCCTCCTTCTCCCCAGGGTCTCACAGGGATTCTGGGTCTGGCTGGGGTTTAACCCCTTCCCTCCCGCGGTTCCCGTCGGCTCCAGGTCATTAACCCCTTCTTCCGGCCTATCCGTTCGACCCCTTCCTCCTACAACCTTCAGGGGTACAGCCGGACTCACTGCCCTCACTCTTTCAGGCTGCCCCATACCGTAATGTGCTGGATGCTTTCCAACATCCACTACCTTGGTGCAGGGCAGTCTGTGGGGCCCATGAGGTAGCCTGAGCATGACGCGGCGGCCATCTTTGATCCCGCATCTATCGAGACTCCAGGGACCACGTTCCCCCAAGCCTATTTTCAGATTTGAGTCAAACTCATGTATAGTGGTTTGAGGTGCTGGAACCTAAAAGGATACCACCCTGGAACTACTTAAAAGGGATACCAATTCCTTAAAGGGATAGCACCCTTGGACACAGACTATCAAGATGGTACTGTATAAGGGATATCACCTGGTTCAGGAATCTATATCAAGACTCTATGTCTGGTAATGGATGCTCAAAGGGCATCCCCTATCACTTATACTACCTGTCAGAACACGACAGACGACAGAGCTTAGAGCTAGTGCTATATCATATTATCCCTCAGAGGTCAGTCACTTTTGTCTCATTACTGCCATATTAGGCACTAAAGGGCTTATTACCCTGTGCCTGCCTGGGGTGCTACCCCTATTACCGTGCTGCTTTTTGGAGGTCACCCTGTGGCCACCTCTGTGATCCTGGGTAAGGCCCAGTTATACAAATCCCAATATTGTGGTTTGCCCTGCTGGGACAATTTGACAACACGAAGTGACAGATACAGAATTCCCTGCCGGGGTTATTACACCTTACTGTCATTTATACAGACCCTGCTGGGGTCCACTGGCATTATCTACACTAAAACAGATACCCTGCTGGGGTACCCCATATCACACACCCTGCTGGGGTTGTTTTGATACTTTGAGACAATAAATTGCACACAATAAATTGCACACTACTGCACCTTGATGGGGTCTGCATGGTGCATTGCACACAATGAAACGGATTGTGCTCTCATCCAGTCTGTTTTATTTGGCCGCGACCCACGCTTGACGGGTACATACCCTGTGCACCTGAGGTGACCTCTGACTAGGTATAAGCCAATCTATTCGGCTAAAGAGGGGACAGAGTCGCAAGCTTCAGTGTAGAATATCCCCCATGGTGGTGCATTAATTATTGGAAGAGCTGTAGTACACTCTATCAGGCTTATGGCCAGCACTGATGGGTTCATACCCTGTGCAACCGGGGTGAGCCCCCTACAGCACTGCTTCTTTTACTCCTACCCCTATCAACAGCGAGCTCGAGGATTAAAAACCCGAACTTTGGATCTGGGCCCGGCACTTCCAGGTTCAGACCCGGTTCTCTCGGGGTGAGACCCCTACGATGGGGGAGTCACACTACCTGACCGAAGGAAGTCTTACGGCAACAGGCTCTACCTACAGCTGAAGGAATACCTCCATTGAAAATGAATCATGATACGGTACGGGTTTATGCACTGTACCTATTCTGCGTCCTGCAGTTAAAGGTCCACGCCCTATGCACCGGGCCTGGCTAGGCGTGCACTACACTAAAATGCCGAACAGAGGCATGCGGTTACAACCTCTGAACAGGAGTTCCGAGCCGCCTACTTAACGATATATATTCCCCTTGAGGTGAATTTAATAATGGAAGAGGTGACTGACACTCTCTATCAGGGCGATGGCCAGCACTTAAGGGTTCAAAACCTGTGCACCCGGGGTGAGCCCCCACTATACATGCTCTGCACAGTGCTGCTGAGCGGAGGCAATGTTATGGCAACCTCTATGTACTGGGTGAGCCCCAGTCTGTTTTATTTGGCCACGATTCAGAATAAGACCTGCAAGGTTTTCCGTGAACACTGCCTACTGTCATAGTAGACTGATCTGTTTGCCCTGCATCCTGTGCCTGAATACTGGTTTGTGCCTTACACAGGGGTATCCCTTACTACGATAACCCTACTTGACAACATTATACACTCGTGGCTTTGCAGCCTCTTGCTTAGAATGTCCATATCCGCTGACGGTCGGACAAACCCATGCCCTTCCATGCCGGTCAGAACGGCTCAGATGACTATAGTGACCAACGGAGGAGGTCTTTCAGGATTCACAACCTTACCATGGCCGATGCTGGACGCCGCCATACATCATCCGTGAATGGGCATACAACGTGGGTATATGGACTCAAAAAAACTGTTTCTGCTCCTCGCATGAAACCCCAGTGTTGGCCTCTCCCATAGGATGCCCATAGCAGCACTCCTCCGCACTGACGGATGGTTGGCGGTACTGGGCGCCAAGATAGTCGGAACCCCAGGCACAAGGCACAAAGTTATTAGACACACAAGAGTCTCACGGCTTTCATAATGGCCCAAACCCCTAGGAGGGAGGTGTTATGCAATTACCTTTACAAGGGATTCTTTGGAACCGGTTGGCAACAGAGCCGGTCGTCGACCACTTCAGGACATCTGACCCGAGATCCGCTACCGCTAGCTCTATTACCCATATAGAGTGGTGCTCCAGATAAGCGGACAGAAAACACGGTACGCATAGATACCATCAATATACCTCCTATTACATCCACAGGGGATTTCACCACATCTAGGTGAAAGGCACTCAATCCTGGGGAAGACCACTTTCACGTAGTCAACCGACTTACATTCAGGACCTAAAGACACGTCAGGACGGTCTTCTTCCTTCCCGCTCGACCACCTTACCCAGTTTTCAGGGGACATCCTCTCCTTCCCAATCTAGTAGCCTGGTGGGCCCTGATAAACTACCGAAAGAAGTAATATATACAGGCGGGGAAGACGAAACACTCTCTTCCGGGAGAACCTCATTCAGATCACTCCAGGGAACTGAAAACTCGTCAACACCCACGTTCATCCGAGAACCGGCTGGAACCTCCACACTTGTAGAAGACTATTTGCTCAGAGGATTCGTAGACTATCCCACAATTTGGGAATATTCGCACGACTCTCCGCGGCACAACCGCAACCCTGTAAGTTGTATACCTAGACTTCTTGGTCCTATACTTTACAATACATGGATTGAAAAAGAAGTACTAGATTGGCTGCATGCTACTGCAGGTAATCACACAGATTAGGCGGTCAGGTTTCACATCCACCAGGATGGACCAACTCACGTTTATCAGACAACATGTAGGCTCCTTCGATCCATGTCTTCTTCACAGAAGATCAACCTGTCTCCCGGGGGAGACAAATCTCATGGGGGCCGACTGATTTGGATATTACCACTCGTATAAGTCGAGGCACGATGGTGATCGCGCTCCGTCCAACCGGACCTCCCCGAAGGACTTATGCTTCTCATGCTTACAAGGTCTACAGAAATTCTCGCGCAGGAGAGGATCTTCTCTTGCTACATTCATAACCGAGAATTCTTAATGGAGCCGTAGGGTACTCACATCTTCTATCCCGGGAGGGTCGGCTACCTGAGGACCTGGACCCGCTTTGGGGGTTTCTTGGCAGGTCAGCGGACGATCGCAGGTTGCCGGGGACCTCTTGGGAATTTTTTTTATATTCTCATCTGTCTAGTGGAATGTCCCATTTATTTGGTGATATGCAATATGATTAAAGTAAAAACGTAGATGGAATTATATGCTATTTAATTCACTTTACTTTTTTTTTAATTATTTTCAGAGATAGAATACTATATATATAATATATATATATATATATATATATATATAATATAGTATTCTATCTGATTTCACTCTGTGTGTCTTGTTGGGAGCTTATTTTTTTACATTTTCTTTTTCTCATTTTTCAATTTTTTTATTAATTATTTTTTATTGTTTTATTATTTATTATTATTTTTATTTATTTTTCTTTTTTTTTTTCACTTTCTTTGTCTATTTTTTCTTTTTTAAGCCCTTGGCTGTTCATATATTAAGAATGTGTTCATCTCTGGTTATATGCATGCATAGCCACTCCTGTTCGGTACATTACCCCGGGACGCATGCGCGAGAGCAAGTGGGATTTATATTTCTTATGTTCGTGCGCATGTACACACAAATACATAGGATTTATCATTGGCTTTGGCTATTTGTGTGCATATATTGGTCTCCATTTCGTGTTTTGTATTATTTTGCTTCTTTTCCGTAAGGTATTGGGGGTATTCCTTACTTTTACTGTTTCCAGCTTAGTTTACAGTTTATATTAATTGATTCCTTAGCGCTTATCCTACCTTTCGTACTTGCTGTATCTTATATGTATTGGTACCACCAACAAATGCAACATATAGATATGATACATACACACAAGACTGCTGAATACACACAGATGCGGTGCAGTGTGGGATGCAGTGTGTGTGTGTGGGGGGTGCAATGCGTGTGTGTATGTGAAAGGGATCCATTATGTGTGTGTAGGGGGATGTATATTTTATTTTAAAATAAATGAATGATGTAGGTGTCTCCCTCCCCACCTTCTTCTTACCTTTTCCCAGGGAGGGAGGGGGGAGGACAAGCCCTGGTGTTCTAGTGGTAGCGAGGGAAGTTTAGCATGCAGCTCCTCCGGCTACAGGCTGCCTTTACTTCTCCCAGAGCGTTGGGATGGAACGTTGCCATGGTAATGTGTGGCAACGCTCTTGCCTGCTCGTGGGAGAAATCCAGAGCCTCCCAGGTCCTACCTCCCTCCCGCTCTCTCACCTAACAAAGTAGAAGTGGGCCGGTGAAAGATCTTTGATCTCCCCTCCGTCCTGAGAAAGGCACACAGTAAGAAAACAGGGCTGGCAGGGGAGATGGGGGAATACTTAGTGGCATGGACACCCATCCCTGGTGGCTAGCTGTCCCCAATGCCTTAGCCACCTATCAATAAAATTAAGTAACCCTACCTATCCTCCCATCATCCTAATACTGAGGGGGTCAATTAAAACGATATCTCTAAAATAAAAAAAATTATACTTACAATCAGAAGTCTTCTTTATTTTAACCTTTTCTTCAGCCCCAAAAAGGACAAATTAAAATCCATAATTCCCAATGCAACTTATAAAAAAGGTGAAAAAAAAAAGTGACAAAACAAATATTTAATTTTTTACCCCACGAGGGCTCAACCCAGACTGAACCTGCATAGTGTAGAAAACCTTTATAAGGGCTTTGCCAGGCTATTTAAAGGAGCACTAAAGGGTCAGAAACACAAACATGTATTCCTGACCCTATAGGGTTAAAACCAATTATCTAGCCCCCCCCCGTCCCCATCATGCCTTCCTAAATATAGTAAAATCTTACTTGTATTCAAGTCTGCAGCTGCTTACTTTGTCACTGTTTACTTTAGACCTGCCCACTTCCTGCTGACATCAGCAGAAGTGGTAGCCTGATCCAATCACAATGCTTCCCCATAGGTCTGACAAAGAGGCAGATCAGGGGCAGAGCTAGCACAATTCAAACACAGCCCTGGCCAATCAGCATCTCCTCATAGAGATGAATTGAATCAATGAATCTCTATGAGGAAAGTTCAGTGTCTGCATGGAGAGGGCAGAGACACTGAATGTTTGGATGCATTTTAGGCAGCCATGACCCAGGAAGGATCTAACAGCTATCTGAGGAGTGGCCAGTGAAGCTTCACTAGGCTCTAGGCTCTGAAAAGACAGTGTTTACAGCAAAAAGCCTGAAGGTAATGATTCTACTCACCAGAACAAATGCAATAAGCTGTAATTGTTCTGGTGACTATAGTGTCCCTTTAAGCTAAGTCAGAGTGCTTTCAAACATTTCTCATTCTATGCACATATATGCTTTTAAGCAAACCAGTCTGTTATTGATATTGCCTATAATTGGGGAGGGATGGACAATGGCATGTCCACCCCTCACGGTATAATTAAGAGTTCCCCCACATGTCACCCATGAGTGGGGGCCAGGGAGAATACTAGAACCTCCCCCAGAATATTATAATTAGGCACCCACCCACAGCCAATAGAGTGGCGGGGCGAGAGACTATATCATAACAACACCCATCCACTGACAAAAGATCAGGGCATGTGGGACATTAGGATGTTCCCCTTTTCTTTTATTAAATAGCCCTCCCTCTCTGGCCACGGGTGGTAACAGGGGGATGGACTGTGATCTGCCCACCCCATTAACATTTTTTTTTAATATTCTTTATTTTAGTGGTGCGTTCAATTAATACAGACGCTTGTTGTGCCACAACAGCAGTAACAAGTAGAGTGGGGAACATCGCTTAACAGGCTTGTGGCATAGAGAAGTACTGCACACATTTTCAAAGTTAGGTTAAGTAAAGTAGCAGGGTCACATGCATATCCAACATATCTAAAGTGTGTATAAGGAATCGCTAGTTATTTAGACATATTGGTATTTTGCTTAATAAGGTGAATAACAGGCTTATAAACAAGGAAATGCTTATGAAACTGGGAGATTGTGTCTTGCACTTTGCTCACTAGACTAGACAGCAGGTCCTAGCTTAATCAGACCAGGTGCAGGTAGTTACGCATTTATCTAAACATGCTTAGTACTCATAAGTGATAGGAGTTAGAGTCCCGATTGAGTGTGGTTACCCCAGCCTCGTTGTTCAAAGTCAGCCATACGCCAGGCAGCTCCTGACTGAGCGGGTAGAGGCATTATATAGTATGGGGGCTGCGGCTGGGTGAGGAGTAGTGGATGCTCTTCGGGTTGTATTAAGTCGCAGGGCCCGGTCATGCCAGGTAGGTTGTCGCCGGTTCTGGAGCTTGGGTGAAGGCTAGGAAGAGGTCGGGTCAGGGTGTCTCCGGGTCCCTTGACAGCTTCATTTGGTACCTGATTAGGGTTTCCCGCCACTGCTGGACTTGGGGTTTTCTTCCCTACACCGTCTCCCTTAGGGTTGTGGCTGTGGGACGTTGCCTCTGACCTTCTCAGCTACCGCTGTTGTGCAGTTTCCGTCTCGGACCCCTAGCAGCCTGCCGCTGTGGAGTTTGAGGCCGCGTTGCATACAGGGGTCTTCCCGGTGCTGCCCGCCGCCATCTTAGGTGAGCGGGGTGCTGCTGTTTCCACCCGCACCGCATGTAGTTGTTCGGGTTCGTGGGGGTGCCATGCTGGACCGTGATAACCCCCATCGGTCCAAAGGGGGGGGGACCCCGCGCCCCCAGCCCCGCATCAACTGCTAGGCCGTAAGTCGGACCAGCCTCGGCTTGCGCCTCTGGGGAGCCTGTAGTGCCTCCGTCCCAGTCCCACCGATGGCTCTGTGGTTTGGGTGAGCGTGGGGCCCATTTGACCTGCGACTACTCGGCATTGCGGTCAAGCTCCCCCCCCCCCATTATCCATTTTAAAATCCCCCACCCACATTAGGATGTCCTCTTTCTTTTTTCAATGAAATAGTCCACACTCGCTGGCCGTGGGTGGAGGCTGAGGGGTGGACAGTAATATGCCCTACTCCATGATTTAACAGCCTGGACAATCATAGCATTAGCAAGGTCAGGATTTTGCAGCCCAAATGGTACCATGTGCACCCATTTGGTACAATGCCATTCAGAAATTAATGTATAACCATGTAAAGTGTAATTTGACATTTACTTTGAATTTCTGTGAATTGTGAAGTTGTTACACTGAAGAAAGCCTTGAAACCTGCCTAATAATTCTATGGAGGTAGAAGGTGTATAGCTCAGGTCAACTATACATTATTAAACACGGAAGACAACCAAAATACCAGGAAAAAAAATAAATCAAATAATCTACACGTTGCCAAATTGACCAGACTGCAGTGATGAGGTTTTGCCCAGTTCATAAAAGGCTAGATTGACACATTTCATGATACAGAACTGGCTGCGGGAAATGAAGTACACTGATCTTGACACTCAGATGTTGCTCAAACCAAAAGATGTTAGGGGTGCTGGCGTCATAGCTCCATTTAGCATAAGGTCCTGTGTCATCCTACCGCCTCGAGTAACTATCCTTTTTTTTACAACATTTCATCATGACATTAATGTGTGCTAATATCTGACCTTTCCTGTGACAGATTTGGATGGTGTGATTGTCAAACTAATTTACTTGATCAACATCTAGCTCCATCCTTTGATAAATTAATTTTAATTGCTATTGATTAACCTACTTAACTGTGATCTTCACAGAATACTGTGTCAGCTCCTTTGAGAAATTCTCATCAGAGGATTATTTTGCGTGGAGAGTAGAATATGCTACAGCATTACTCTTTGACTTTGAATGTTTCTGCCATAGACAGTTTATACAATTTGAGTGTTATCACATACCGCATTGTAATATTAAATGTGCAATACTAAGTATGTGCAAAAATGTTTTGAAAAGGAAAGATACATAAAATATATAAGCAAACCCTAATTTCAGGCATGTTGGAATGGACGTTTATGGTCAGGACTCAGGAGAGAATTTCCCTTGTTGCCCACCAGGCAAATACAAGCTAATATGTCCATTCACTACATTAGGAATTGGCCAGGGGAATGATACTTTTAACTCTAATTAACCAAATGTAAAAAAAAAAAATTCAACTTTGCTATTTTGGCCTAGAATTTTCATTTATGCAGTAAAATCCAGTTTTTGGTTTAATGCTTAACTGTGTTAGAATAGACAACCTTGATCCACCAAATCTGCAAAGACCTCCAAAGGAATTTAAGTCTATCTTCCTACTCTCAAAGGTAAGCAATAGGCTATCAGCAGAATATCCAAAAATATACCTGAATTGCGGCCAATGCCAATTTATTACACCCCAATACATTTAAAGCCACAGTATTATTCATTCTGCATACATGTGTTTTTTTGCAATGTTTACATAATGATAGTCCATGTAAATAGTATTGGCAGAATGTTAAAAAAAACACATAATTAATTATTTTGTGTATATGCATGAGAATCCCTCTATGGCGTATACAATGTTTGGTTGTAAATTGAGGATTATTTTGCCTATGTATCTACTCTATCTAGGAGCTGTGGTTAATCTTTATATTACAGCAAGGTGTTTTGGTTTCCTTTTTGCTGTTGAAATACAGGGGTTCTCTGTGTGTATTAGGTGGCTAACCTTTGGTATTTCAGTAAGTGGGCTGACTGAGCATCTTTGGACATTTAGTCCAAAACAACAAGAGTTGCAAATATTAACCATCATTGCAGAAGAAGATGAATAAACACGATATTCTCTTCTTCCATATGTGTAGGTTCTGTAGCTTGTGTTGGGGTGCTGGGGTATTCTGTGCATAGAATTGGGGACCATCTCCCAGCACAGACTCCCAGTGCGGCCCCCGGCTCCCTCCCGTCTGCACATGTACAGAAAGGCTGCTTGTTCTTCCTCTGGCTTTTTCCACTTTCTCTGGCTCTGCCTGGAATCACTTCAGAGGAATTTCTCTCTCTTGGGCTGAGAACGAGTTTTTCTGGGAGCTGCGAGTGTTTGTGCTGTGTCCGGATGTGCAAATCTTAGGACCACCGGGCAGGGAGAAAGCAATGAAGTGGGGAGAGACCCAACAGAGTGACACAAGAGAGAGGGCAGAAAGGGGACAGGACAGGGAGAGGAGAGAGTAAGGAATTAATAAAAGGAGGTGTTAACTCTTTCATTGCCAGTATAATGACCTGCTAATTGCAAAGCTACACTAATCTGGCTGCTACTTGAAGGGTTAGTAGTGGAGTAGAGGAGGGTGAGTGATGCTAGAATGTGAATTTAGACAAAAAAAAAAAAAGAGAGTGGTAGAAAATTGATCAAGGCTGCGTCTATGGAAAGGAGGATGGAGCAAATGGGGAGACAAATTAGATGGTGATAGATGGTGATGAAAGATAGAAAAAAAAAAAGACATTGGTATTGAAAAAAGGAAAGCTGGGTAGGAGAAGAAAATGTTGCAGTGAATTGTGATCATGAATTTTGCACTGCTGAAACGAAAAGAGAAGGGGAGCAACACTCATATTGGTTGGTATTAAAGTATAAGATGATTAGGCACCTGCACCCAAAACGTGGAAAACATATTGCTGGGATGCATTAATCTGAATACTGCAACTGCAAGATATATTTCATTAAGTGTCCATGAATAAAGGGATGATAACATGTCATATATGAGGATTATACACAAATGATAGAAACTTTGTCCAAACCAGGTACATAAGTAGGAAATGCTGGCCCCCAGGGGATAGAATCTTTGAAAGGCCCTCTTTGTTGTGAGGGTTGTGTGTGTAATATATAGAATTTTTTTTTTAAAAAGTGTTTTTTAGCTCCTTCCTAATTAATCCCTGGTAGTTCACTGGGGTATGATCCCTGGTGGTTGTGCAGTGCTGCTGGCCGCATCCTTGGAGGAGCATGTTGTCACACTTTTCCTGTCTAGTGCTCACGGATTATGTCAGAGCATTGCCATGGTAACCCTGTGCCTCCTTTTCTAAGCATCAGGACTTTAATGGTTATTTAATATATTGTCAGACTGGCAATAGTGGCCATTACATCCCTGGGTGTTCTGCCAGTCGTCCAAATGGTACCAAGGAGTTCTGGCATAGTCTAAAAATGTCATAGTATGCTGTATTTGCACTGAAATTAAAATTTTATTTGTATTTATTGTTACACATTGCAAATATCAGCCACCCATAAGGGTCTTTATTAAGCCATAGCTTGGTACAAAACATGATATAAGTGGGTTATACTGCGGTGTGAAAGGACACAATAAACATATATTGTAGAATAAATCATCTTATCTCTTTTCAAATGCTGATGCATCACATTAAATCACTGAAGTGTAGACCAAAAACTAAACAAAACGAATACAAATATTTTGGATAAGTATATGTCCAATATGTTAGACATATAATGTGGTAAGTTAAAATGTATTGTAGGAATCCTCTGTACCAGATAAAAGCATGTAATAGTGATGCTGCACTATAAACACTACTATAAGCAGAGATGGTTTTAGTACTTTTTAAATATAATTAACTATTTTTTATGTCCCATGAAATCACAGATCAATATCTATGTCTTTTTCACAGCAAATAATATAATATATAATTAATATAATATATATATATAGGAAACATACATTTCAAGAAACTTGTTTGATGCATGTGTTAGCTGGCACTGTGGGCGTTAAATTAATGTATGCTCTGGTGCTCCTGGACAGTCAAAAGTATAATTAAACAAATAAAAAAGGTTAAAAATGTATTACAATCAACAGCTAACCTTTAGTTATTGAATTGTGCTAAAACTCCCATGTAACAGTTCTGCTTTAAAATAAAGCAAGTTTATTTTTTACTCTATACCTTTAAAAGCATGGTTAAGTAGTTGGGTCTGGTTGTGTGAGTGCTGGGATATGTTTTTGTAACGTTTTATTGGCCTGGAATCATTGCTTGTAGAGATATATTTAGTCTGTGAAAAAAAAATAGATCTCGGCCACCACCTCCTGAGAACACCACGGTAAAGTGCTGCTTTATGGCATTTTAAACTCAATAAAACCTGTAAGAGTCTTTCTGTTTCTATCTGTGCCAGGTTTACATCAAATACCATGCTTTTGACGGTGCAGTCCTTCTCCATGTCATTAAATTTAATAGTTTTACCCTCATAGCACTTTCTATACTGGGAAAACCCCATGTAGGGGTCTTTTCACTGAAGGCAGAGTTAATCAGGGTTATTTACTAAATACCTAATCTAGCCCAGATGGACAAAATCTGGTGAAAATGAACGAATTCTGACCACAATGGCC